AGTCAATAGATGCACTGGTACAATTCTTTTAACCTGAAAAGGTGAGTAATAGAGTGAGCTTTGGAAAGCTCAGTAATACAGAACTACCAGAAGATGCTGATGAACATGCAGATACAGATAAACGTATTTTCCTTATTGATTCCGATATTTACAGATTTCTATGCTGAGCAGAGATCCTACTGATATTTCAGGTGGTAACGGACAATGAGCTTTCAGTTCAGAGAAATATTTCAGATGACTGAGTTCAGGAGATCAGAATAGGTTTTCTAGTGTGTTCCCAAAAATCATGTAACTTTTCAGATTTTTTTTTTAAAACACATATATATATATACCCCCATCCGTCACGAACAAAATGTATAGTTTCCCCAGAACCATACAACCCCGTCACTAACAGTAAGGCCCTGAGCACACAGCCGAGGAACCGGTAAGTAAGGCCCTGAGCACACAGCCGAGGAACCTCCAAGTAATCTTCCTCCAACAATACCCCCCAATAAAACATGTTCCGTCCGTAAACGGATATATCAAAAATCAAAACATAATTCAAGTCAGGTATCATATCAGAATCCAGGTCATGTATCAGATCAGAATCCATGTCAATATCAGATCAGAATCCAGGTCAGGATCATAATAGAATTCAAGTCGGAAATCAGATAAAATATTTATATGATTAGGGAACACACCAGAGTTTACAGATATTATTCAGAGGTATTGGATAATCTTAACAGGTAGAGAAACATGAATATTCAGTATACCGATAGGATATCGAAATTTAGAATCACTATTTGAAATAGTTCATTAACTGACAGAATCATCAGTTATTCAGAATGTGAATTATCAGGATATTATCTTATTCGGACAGTTTTCAGAAGCTGTACGTAATCAGAAGGGTATTCAGAATCCTTTACATCCATGTCGATTGATCGGATAATCGAACAACTTGAGAACGAAGATTCAGAACCTTAACAATCTATGTCGACTGGTCAATTCATTTTCCTTCTAGGGTATTTACTCTTTAATACCACAAATTCTTGTCCGTAGACCATTTTCGGAATTATCGCTGAATAAATCTTCCAATGACTTTATTTCATTTCCACACTTCCACAATATCATGAAATGTTGACGTACTTGATTAATTTGTTCATAACCCATTGTAATTGTACACTACGTAAACTCATCAGAGTTTCCAGACTTATCCAAATCACTTACTAAATCCTCAGTCATTGAGGTTACCTATTTCATTTAGCAGTCATCTCCATTCCAGTTACTTCAGAATTTTCCAGAGTAATTCAAACGTTCCTGAATTTCAGATACATGTTGTACTTCCATCCCATTCAATTTGGTCTTCGTGGTTGATTGTTGAACAAACGTCCAATTCTTAGTACTGAATACGATCTAGATCTGAGCTGAACTGAATACTTCCAAGATTCGTCATCGAGCCAAACTTGAGAAGACGAACATATGTTCCAGTAATATCTATGCCATTCAGGTATTGACATAGCTTTAGGTTTGATCTACTCACTTAAATTATTTTCCATTACCTTTAAAGGTAGTCCAATACCTATGCTTACTTGGATTCCTTAATTAATCCAAGACATTTACTTAATTTAGGCCATAAGGGTATTTTGGTAATTTTGATGTTTAGTTTTGTTCCATTCATTTCAGAACTCGAGGATATTCAATCATTCCTGAGCTTGGTGATATTCTTGGGTCATTTCCATTACAGGGGTATTTTGGTCATTTTACAGATCTACGGTATTTCAATCTTTTCCTTCCATCCGATCTTATTATTTAATTCAATCTTATCATTTACTTCAGTCCTTTCGAACAATTCTGACAGCAGAATACCCCGATAAATTACTCTTCCAGTATTTACTCATTATTCGAATATTTTCAGGTCAAGTGTCTTCTCAGACTTTACAAACGGAATATCATAAATTTTCCTGCACTAAGTCGGGATCTTAACAATTAAATCCGTACTTAATCGAGTTAAGTATGAATCCTCTAAGTATTTTCTCATTCAGAGTCATCTCAGACTATTCTACCTCTTAAGGCATTTCCGTAATTTCTTAACCAGATAAGTTCGATATTAGCTCTTAACGAAAATAATATAATTTAGAGATCCTATGATTAATTGCTTTCTTGAACAATCTCTGATCTTGAAATAATTCCCTTAACACACTTCTAGTATCTTGCATAAACCTTTTTGGGGTTAAAAACCGGTTCTCCATAATTTCCAAGTAAAACTAACATTTCTTGTGCACATCAATAGTTTTAGCAGATCAATAATTCTTATCAGATTTATTAATCCACTTCCAGAGACAATTCTTATCATTTTCCAACATAAGGGTAATTTCGTAATTTCCCCTAATCGAAATATTATCTTAATTTATCATCTAAGTACCTTTAATGAGATAAATTATAATCTACAATCCATGGTTAATTCTTTTATTACTTAATTCCGGAACTTGTAATTTAATTCAAACCGTCCTCCAATTTCTTATAATAGTCATCTGAGCCATATTCAGTTATCTACTTTCTACCGTATTCGTACCTAGTGTAGATCTTCATTAATTACACATATGAGACCAAACATTTCCATTCATGCATTTATCAATACCAACATGTTCCATAAAGCATAAAGAGGTAGTAAAGTATTACCTCGATTTCCGTGCAATACTGATCGACCATAAAAATTCCATTCGAACGCCTTTGATCTTCAATTCAACTTCCAATAATTCCTCAGATACATATCAACATAAATTATATCAGAAACGAAGCTTAATTACGATAAACGGATCGAATTGGGTGATAAATCAGTGAAAGACGGCTTACCGGGTTCGAATTTGGCGAAACGGACTTTGGATTCGGATTCAGGACGTCGAAAGCATAAAATATGACTTTTCGGAAATTTGGAATATTCGGTCAAAATCAAAGTCAACGGGTTTGACCGGTAATTTAAAGGTCTTCGGGTTTGAATTTCGAAAAACGGACAGCGGAATCGGATTTGGAACGTCGAAAAATGTCAGGATAGGTATATTCGGTCGAAGTCAAAGGTCGTTTAATGCTCGATCAAAGCCGGTCAAAGTTTTGGTCAACAGTGGTCAACGTGGGTCAACGGTCAACGGGTCAACGGTCAACGGGTCAACGGGTCGGGTCAACGGGTCGGGTCGGGTCAACTGGTCGGGTAAACGGGTCGGGTAAACGGGTCGGGTCGGGTCGGGTTATGACCGGTCAAACCGGTCAACTATCCACTAAAACCGGTCAAACCGGTCACTTTTGTCTTCCCCACGCGCAGTGGCGGCGCGTGGGGGCGCGTGAACAGTGATAAAATCCCGGAAAAATTTCTAAAAATTATTTTGAGCGATTTCGAGATACTTACAAAGCTCGGTTCACAATTTTGAACGGCGGAGAGCTCAATTTCAACAAATCGGAAACTTTAACCGCTTCACCTCCACACGCGCCGCCGCCGCCGGAGAAAAGGGAGGACACCGGTGGACTCGGAACGGCACAAGGAACACGATGGTGCGGGAGGTGTCGTAAACGGATGACCCGATCGTTGTGAATCGATGAAAAACCAACTAAAACCGAGTTATTACCGACGATACTTCCGACTGAAATTAACGACGAACGGAAATGATTCACGACGAAAGGTTTGAGGGGTTTTGTTCCTCGGTTGACAACGAACACGATGGTGGTTTCGGCTCGTCGATCGGAGGTCGGACGGCGAGTAGATCGGAGTTCGAAGTAGGGAGAACGGGAGAGGAAAACTGGAAAATTTTCCGCTGAACCTGCGCACGGGGGAACTTATAATTCAACATATATAAAAATTGGTTAAATCATGACTTTAGCCACTAAACTTCATGCATTTCTTAAAACGGTCTGCCATCTTTGAAATCTGACAATTTAATCCCCAAATTTCTTCCAAATACCAATTAAATCCACCACTTTATAATTTCTAAATTTTAGCCCCTAAATTGGGGTGTTACATACCCCCTGCGTAATCTGGAATTTTCGTTCAAGCCCAGAAAATCACTGTTCATGCACGAAAATTCACTATATCAACTTAAATTCTTCATGTTTCATTCCCTTTTCTATTCTTAACTCAAATATACATACTTAAACTAATTTATATTCATTTATTTCATCTTAAACCTCAAAATCCCATATTTTATATGGAATCAATAATCATACCCAAATTTTCAATATGTTCTGATTTCAATCCTATCACTTCATATCTCTTAATTAAGATGATGACAAGTCGAATTTAACTTCAAATTCAACTTATCAACTCTTTTACATAAATTCTCTTAAAAACCCATTTTCTTTAATCTTTCATAACTTCTTCATCTTTTGATTATAAGATAAATTAAGTTTTCCTTAAGCTTAATTATCATCTAAGGATCAAAACCCAATCTTTAATTGAACAAATAATCAACAAAATAGAAAACTCATCTTTGTCTAGCTTCCACGGTTGGAGAAGAAGAAAGGAATAAGAAGATGGAATGTTTTCATCTTACTCTCCCCACGTTTTATCTCCTATTAAAGGAGAAAAATATATTTCCTTGTCAATTGACAATTTTACCCTTTAATTCTTTGGATAATTACTAACAACTTTCAGGAAATATTCTCAAATAAATCATTGAATTATTTAACTATTTTGCTTTAATCACTAAAATCTAAAATTTTACAATTTAATCACTAACCCGTAATTTGGGATGTTACATTTATTCTCTAAATTGGAACTTTATCCTTTGTATGAATTTAGCTTTTGTTCTTATATCAATTTGTGATAAAAGCCAAAGTTATGTACTAACTAGACAAAAAATACAAGTACCAATTTGAATTATGAAAGCAAGTTTAGGTACCAAAAGAACAATAGCTTTATTAACTCATTGCAATTGGGACACATGGCAAGCAGGCGAGGACTTAGATGATGGATCAGTTGATCCAACGGTGCAAATCGGAGGCAAACCAACTCGCGAGTAACTGATAGATTGCATCACCATTGTCACAATTCGCATGCTGAGTGAACGAGTCCCTTGATATAGAACCCAAAACAAGTACTCAGAAACCCTAATCCGAAAGAGAAGTTTGATTGTGCTCTCCAACCATGGCGTTTTCTACTCGCCTTCTCTTCAAATCACGCCAGGTTTTCCTTCTCTGCTCCAGATCTCCATTCTCGATTTCATTATTATCCGCTTTTAATTATTTCATTTTATTTCATTTCGATCTTTATGATTCAAAATGCCCGTTTTTATTTATTCAGATTATTCGAGTTTTGTTCGTGGATCTGTCGAAATTAGTTGATTTTATTTTGTTGTTTTTGATATTAGAATTAGTCATATGAGATTGAACTGTGATTTTAGATTAATAGTTACGATTTAACTAAAAATTGGAAATCCTGTTTTCATTTTTGTTGAATTTACATTTTATTTCACGGGATTTAATCTAATGTTTCACGAGGAAATGTTGGAATAAAAGTTCCTCTTTGTTTTTTGGGAAAAAGAGAGTTAGGCATAGTGATAGATATTAGGCACGGTGATAGCCACGAAAGCTAAAAGAAAAAATATTATAGAATCTCACATTTTTTTTATTTTATGTTATTAAATTTATTAGCCTGCGCTGTGTGTGTTTGTGTGTATTTTGTGATTGATGTTTGGGTGAGATATTGCATTTTAAACAATAATAATTTTGGGTAATTTGTTCAGCTTTATGGTAGTCAAGCTATTCTGCGACCTGATGTTGTCCTTCCTGTCCGGTTTTACTCCAAAGAGGCTGCTCCCCCTAGTCTCAAGGGAGATGGTAAGTGTATATCAAGATGGTTGCTTTACTTATGCTCTCAATTTGTTAGTATTATTTTCTCCCCACTACATGCTTCTCCTAGCTTGTATTATGCATATTGTAGCTAAGTCATTATTGCTGGTGTAATGAAGAGCTACTACTATTATGCTATTTTATTATTTTAGTCGTATTTATTGATTATTAGACTGTTAGACATATGGATGGATGGCTAGGATTATAAATTATCTTTAATGTTTTAATCAAAGAGTTGGATTAAAGCTTTATTTGTAACCTGGGTCTAAATAAGTTGCGAAATAGATTTTCAACCGTATTATTATTATTTTAATCTTTTAGACTTTAGTTTTATTGATTTGCAGCTGTTTTCTCACTTAACTACACCATTGTGTTTCCGTGGACTATTTGTTTTATGAGTGTGCCTTGGCATTGTCGATGTGATTTGATTTTCTTTGAGCTAAAGGTCTTGATGCTTTGATGCGTATGTAAAGGTAGTGGGATGGAATGTCTTCGTCATTTCGATGTTTGTGTTATCTTTTACTATTTTGTTTTTATTAATTCTTGATCTTCTGTGTGGTTTAATGATGTATTCCTTTCCGCTTCAATAAAAAAGAGATGTTGAAGAATATCTTTTTGGAGGTTAAGAACAAATTTGAGACAGCATTGGGAATATTTAGGAAGGAGAAGATCACCATTGACCCCAATGACCCAGCTGCTGTCTCTCAGTATGCAAATGTTATGAAGACAGTTAGAGAAAAGTGAGTTATTTTTATCACCTCTCTTTCATATTTGACTTGTTCTCCACTCCATTCCTTTGAACATTCACACATCTGTTTTTATCTAGTTGAGTAGATTGCACTTGCTACACACTAGAACACTAGAAAGGCAGTAAAGTAAAAAGTTAAAGAGTGAAACAGGGATTGAGAGTGATTCTTGCTCCTGTCTCTGAACTTTTATGCAACAATAGTACTTCATCGCTGCTGTACAAGTTGACAACACCCCTCTCCCAACCAACCCAACCCACCCACCCACCCAAAGGCCAAAACGTCTCTCATGAAAGTGCTGGTAATTAGAACATGGAAATAAATGATTTAAATATACTCCAGAGATTAAATTGAATGCCGTTGTCAAGTTTTATTGTAAAAACCTGTTTTAGAAATAACATCAAAATTAACATTTCTGAAATTCTGAAATTCTGTAATTCCAAGCCCTTACATTCCTGCTTGAGATCTGATGGAACGTCTATGGGAAGGGGGATTTAATAAATTACAAGCTCATACCTTCACCAGTGGTTCTCTTTTTAATTTAATACTATGAAATTGTTTTCTGTTACTTGCTATGGAAACTGGCTTCAAAATCCCTTGAGCCAATATTAATTGGACTCTAATTAAGCTGTTATTAAACCAGTACGTCAAAATTGTTTGAGTCTATGTTGTTCCATCTCTTCATTTTTCTTAAAGTTTCCATGTCCTGCACCTGTGTCAGACACATATCCGAACATGAGTATAGGATATGAATCTCCAGGGACACTCAAAATACATCAAAAATCTTGAAGAAATTGGACATACAAGTATTTGACGCTGACACTTGATTTGAGTAACATGTTTGAGTGTCGTTTTGAATAAAGTATCTAATTCCCAGCTTGGTTAATTTCCAGTTAAAATCTAATTGATTGCTAATAGAACCTATCCTTTTGACCTTCCTATCCTCTTAAATTTGTTATAACATAGTTGCACAATATCACTTAGTTTAAACAATAACTATAAGAGATTATATATCTAAATGTGTGGCCAATAAACATTCTCTTATAACTCTTGTTCTATTATACCATTTCTTACATCATGCTATCTTGTCCTGTAAACAAGACAAAATAGTGCATTGATTACTACATGCATTTCATTGTTTTATAATGTGTTCTTTCCCTTCTAATATCTGTCCTTTTTATCAGGGCTGGCTTGTTTTCAGAATCTCAGCGGATCCAATACACCATCCAAACACGAACTCAGGACATTCCAGATGTACGAACATATTTATTGGCATTGAAGGAAATAAGGATCAAGTATGTCAATTCCGACTTTTGAGTTGCTTATATATCCTCAATATTGAAATGAATAGGATATTTCATAGTTTATGGCCTATTTGTTTCACAAAATAGCTTGGTTAATGGAAAATGAACTGTGTTAACAAAAAATTGACCTATTTTTGGAAGCAAAATATGTTTTGGGCATTCAAATGGCCCACCTATTTTACCAAGGGCATTTGCACGCAGTTGTTTTCCTCCCCTTTGGCCTGTTATGTGAAGAATATTATTTTCATAGCAATGCAGATTTTCCAGGAAAAATATAGCCAAGCAGTGGAAGATGTTTTCTGCTGGATCATTCAAACCGCAGGCAATATCATACTTTCCAAAAAAATAGTCGAATTTCCAAAGAGAAAATTAGGGGAAGCATTTTCCACTATTTTGTGATCCCTATTCTCTTAAGTTTTTCCTCCTTTTTTGTGAAGATTATAGCTTTCACTGAATGAAGCCCAGAGTCTTGTTTTGCATCTGATATTCCTGTTATAGTTTACTTCAACTTGTTGACAGTACAATCTGCTTTTGACTATTTTCATTTACTTCAAGTACTAGATTCAATGACCATACTCTTTTCTCTTCTCGGATGGATTAATCCTGCAATTTTACTTTATATCATTTTTCCTTTCTGAAGGAGAGGACTCACTGATGAACTTGGTGCTGAGGCTATGATGATGGATGCTTTGGAGAAAGTTGAAAAAGAAATCAAGAAGCCTCTTATGAGGGACGACAAGAAATCAATGGCTCTTCTTACGGCCGAGTTTGATAAGATTAATAAGAAGTAAGCATTCTTTTCAATAATTAAATATGCCTTATTCTTCTTACTGTTGTCTAGGATTTTCTGGTAATAGAAAAACATGCAAATTGTACTCTTGGACTCGGAATGAGCAAGATTCTTAATGCAATTCCAAAAACGGGCTCATTGTGGAAAATAATGAAATGTTTATCCATTTTTCTCAAAGCATGTTTCACATTCTGGTCCTCTTTCACATAATGTCTGCTGTAATATTGTTGTTTTAAAACTGCTTCTGTACCCAAAGTAAAGCAGAGAATTATGTTTTACTCTTTGATTATGAGTTTCTGCGGAATTTTATCTTTATGCTTGCTTTCTGTCTCCCTAAAACAAAATGGAGAGTCATGTTTATGACCGTCTTTTTTTACTGTTGGTCTTACTAGGCTTGGAATCCGAAAGGAAGATCTGCCCAAGTACGAGGAACAACTGGAGCTAAAGATCGCCAAGGCACAATTGGAGGAGCTGAAGAAGGATGCTCTTGAAGCAATGGAAACACAATCGAAGCGGTAAGTGAAAGTTTTAACGTTTTATCTCTTTACACACTATGGGTTGTTGTGGAGTGGCAATTTGGATGAGATTGGTTTAGCTCCTTGGAAGTTGGAACATAGGTCTTGGAAATGTTGGATGATGAACATTTTATCATATGCTATGTTACTTAAACCCGGAGTGTGCGTTGTATAGAATATATGTTTGTCGCATATAAATGTCATGAGCGATTTATGTGAAATGAAGAGTCCGGGCAAGTATAGTTTGCATGCATGGCATCATTTATGATATGTTTTTAATCTTTGTTGTGTTAGACATCGACTAGTTTTTTTTCTCATATTCAGGGAGGAATTCAAGGATGAGGCAATGCCTGATGTAAAGTCATTGGACGTCAGGAACTTCATCTGAAAAGCTCGAAATCTGCTGTTGGTGGTTCCAGTGGTCTGTCCGAGAATGGGGTTTTATCATTTTGCTACAATAACGACGACGATGACAATTATAATAAAAGAAAAGAAAAAACAACTGGCGATTAAGTGAACAACCGTCAGATTTGAACGAGTTTTCGATTCGTGTTTGTGATTGAATAACACTACATCTCAGTTGCAGCGGAATTAGTATTGTTCAATGCAGTGTTCAACTGGTTTTTTTGGGATGAAACGTCGATTTATTTTTATTTAGTAACTTAGGCTAATATGTTAAAAAAGCCCTTGAACTACTTTATTCAATTAAGTCCTTTTTTAATTTTTTTAAGTTATGAAAGCTTTTAATAAATTAAGATAATGGAATTAGTGAATTAATTAAGTGAAGCTATTAATAAATTAAGATTAAATCGTGAAAAGAAGAGTCCTCTGTCTTCGCTCCTTACTCGTTGTACCAACTCCTTGCCACGTGATACGCACGTTCAAGCCCTAATTTAGAGGTAAGTTTTATAAATATTTATTTACCCATGTTGTTATTATACATGCTAGTAATAAATCGTGGATCTACAAATTTTCAAATCACAAACGAAGCCATAGGAACAAGAAAATCTTATTTAATCAATAAGCTTTGCGGCTCTACTGTAGAAGGTCTAGTTACACCAAACAGAAAGAAAGCAAGTTTTAACAATCGTGGTGTAACAGATAGTGACAGTGTGCATTGAACAATAGCTCTCCAACCATCTCTCCCGCACGCTAACAATCCCAAACAATTGATAATTACATTCTTTTCCGGGTCACATGAATAATCGAAATCTTCCCGTCATATTACAGTAATATTTTAATCGTGTATAGAATCACATTATCTCTCATACAATTCAACTTTTTATTCATGAATTATTGTGTGTGTGTGTGTGTACACATAATAAATGTTTAATTTATTACTTATATAATTATATATTTCAATGACTTGATTAGAATATGTCCATTACTAACTTTATACACAAACTTAAAACAATAATGGCGTGCCCGGTGCAGGGTTCTTTGGGGGGGAAATTGGACAAGACGGAAATCAGCGCCGTCGCTGTTTAACGGTAATAATAATATAACAATGCTATGTATAGTGATTAATTAATCCTTAATTACGACCAAATATATGTTTATTCAAGAGCCAGCTGTTGTCTAGTAGGCCAAAGTTGAAGTCGGACTTTAAGCAATTTGCAATTACAGCAAAGAATTATTATATTATATAATTCTTAAATTATTTTTAATTTAACAACTCTTAAATAAGACGTTAATGCTCGCTTAAGATCGTTTAAAATTCATTCAGTTTTTTCATTTAGTTTTTTACCTTAGAAAAAAAAGGAAGTATAATTCGATTTAAGCCTAGCGCTAATTATCAAGTTACAAAAATAAATTGAGAAACACAGAAATAAATTATTGTGGAAAGAGATGCTTACAAGGAATTTGCATCCTCTATCAACCGCATCACCGTCACCGGGATAATAAATTAAAGCAAAAAGGAAATGATTAGCCGAAAAATAGTAATAATTCCGATCCTCTGGTGTAAGTGGCTCGGTTTTCTCCTCTAAATCTTTAAACCTTGTCGTCTGTCTCGGTGGACTCCAATACATTGTCCGGTTTTAGCGATTTCTTGCTCGGCGCAGAATAAGTCCAACGCTCTTTTCCTCCGGGCTTGGACGAGGCATTACCATACCAGACCATTCCTGCTACTGCGATGATCATGCCCAAAACCACATGCAGGTTAAGACCTTCTTTCCCGAAGAAAAGGAACCCCAAAATCAGGACAAGGATAGTCTTCATGTGGCCAAGCACTTGGAACGATACAGCCGTGAACCGGCTGATGCAGATGAATTGGCTGAGGTTTGTCCCGACTGCAATGGTGCACGATAGGATTATGAAGAACTGCAAGCAGAAACGATTGTTTTTATCGTTTACAGAAATCTATCAACATTCATTAATGAGCTTGCACATGCATTCCAAGTATATATCTATAGGAATAAATTGCTCGAGTCAACTCGGATAAGAACCTTACCATTGATATCGTAGTATAGTTATAGGCATAAACCTTTTTCTCTGTTAACCAATAGTCCACAAAAGGACCAGTTAACAGCAGGCTTGCAGCTTGTACCGGAGCAGTATGTCCTAATAAGTCGAAAGATCCTAAAGAATGCTTGCGTTGAAGAAAATGTACATACTGCAAAATTAATAAATAAACCAATAAGAAAATAAAAGGAGTAGGACCCAAAATATCAATCCATAAACAAGATTTGCGCATGGCTGGTGTCTCATTTATGGAATGGATCAAATCAAACCATGACAAACGCAATCTGAAACTTGTTCAGTCAGAAATATATTGATCATTAGATTCATTAGACTTATATCATAAATAAGTACCTAAACTTTAGATACATATTTTGATCAAAATGATAACTTTAGATACTTACTTTAACCAAAAAATAATTTAAGTATTTAGATGAAAAGGATGGTATACCTTAATTTATTTGTGATATAAGCAGATTCAATACAACCCAAAAACTTTCCAATTTATTGCACCTTAAGGTAAAATCTAGATACTCATGCAGATTGACTTACATACTGTTGCAGGGCTGTGCTCCAGACTGCTATTACAGCAGCTAAAAAACCCTTGAAATTGACACTCACATCTGTAACAGTACAGACTGCTACTCCTAGGAGAACTAGAACAATGCTAAGCTTTGTATCCCTTGAGTAGCGGACCTTGTCGAAAGCAACTTCCAAAAAGCAAGATACTGGAATCATGCTCAGCTTTGCTATCTGAGAACAATTTTTAAAAAACAATGACATAACTTCTAAAAGATCAAGCACAGAAGAATTAATAATCCAAGCCACTAAAACTGACCTGATAGAAGCCCACAGAATTCCACATCAAACTCACATTCATTCCAACAATAGAAAAATTTGCAAACAAAACGAACTTGAGAAGATCGGGTAATGGTATATAAGAGTCCTGAATATAACCCAGCCATCTAAGAAGAACGGTCAACAGGGTTGTAGTGGCAAAATGCAAACCTGTTAATGTTGTAGCTGCAGCACAGTAAAACATGGGATAAAGGGTTTCCGGATATGCTGGGGTAAACTTTTTTAAAGTTTAACTTCATTGGAATTAAAATATAGTGAAAACAAGTGATACTTTTTATATGTAAGCCATGTTTTTTTTAATGAAAATATCTAAGCTATGTTTTGATATTTAAGGAATCTGCCCTAACAATGGGATTTGAGCCAATATCTTCAAGATGGAGGCCCAAGTTCTGATCGGTAGGAGTTTCCACTTGCTGAAGTTTCATACAAAAGCGAAGATGAAAACATTTTTAATGAAAGACAACTTCCTAGTATCTAATTCTAAAATATTCTGTTCACTTCTTAACCCTCATCCATTTATTAAGCTCTCGATTAGAAAAGCATTATAATCTTCCAATCAATTTCCTATTAGATAGGTGCCCATTATAGTTGTATAATATTTGCTTAAACATGCTTAAATTCCATAAGAGATAAAACATACCAAATAATAGATTTTCATCGACAAAAGCAGAATACATCACAAAATAACTCTAACCACCATGATAAGTAAAGAGGATATATAAAGCACATACTAATTCCACATGAATATCATATCTAAAACAAACTGTATAGTCCTATATAGAGTGGTTTATGTATATCTTCTAGCGTAGTTCACTTGTTTTTCGTGTCTTTAGGAGTTACTAAGCCTTTAAAAAGTATAGGCCTGTATACATTTGGAAACTATTTCCATTTTCCATCTTCGCTTTTACTCTAAATATAATCAATGAAAAAAATGAAAACATCTAGGCTTGGGGAAAATTGAAAAGAATAAATGCATATATTTATCTTTTTTCAAATAGTAAAATCAAAATGGGTTGCTTGAAAAGCTTGAGATTGACATGTAATCTTTTATAATCTCCACATTAATCATGAACTGACCCAGAAAAAAATTATGGATTCCATTTTCATTTTCCTTTTGTAATCAATGAAATAACCTAAACAAACGGGAAAATCAAATCCATTTATGTTACTTCACAAAATATTACACTTGCAAATCTGCTTCTCCCTTTTAGGTTGACCGTACAGAGTTGAACCCACAGAGCAACAAGTCATACGGAAACACAATAAGCATAAAGTAATATATCCATTGAATATGTTATGCAGACACAAAGTTTGCAGGTAAAATGTTCGTTTGAAACATACCAAAACTGAAGCCATACGTGGCCATCAAGGCTTTGTTGACCATGATTATTCCCACAGATGTGACAATATTGAAAAACCATGAGGCCACATCAAGAGTTGTTTTCCTATCAGCCTTGCTTACTGATGACATTTTTAACTTAGTCTCCAAGTTATCAAGCAGAGTCTCTGTTTCTCAAATTTTCACGCGGCAAGAATTATGTTCAGGTCTCAGAAACCTGCAGCTATACCTGTATCAACAAATATGCAATATGTTTTTAACAAGTTTATTTTAAAATCATTCACAATAGTTGAATAAAGCACAAACAAGCATCTTCTTGTAATAAATGTTGGATAGTGCAAGTAAAAGAAAATCTTATAAAATTTTAATTTTAAGTAGATTTTTAAAGAGGATGAGATGTTCATGATAACTGTTTCCATTTTATTTATTGGTTTACCCCTATTTTTACCATTATAAATATTAAACTCCAACTCATTATTTAAGACGCCAAAAACACAAAACTACTCGTTTATCTACAATTTCTCTCTTCCTATTTTCGAAAAGATCAAATCAAGCGGGCTACACTTCTTCACTCCGGGTGTGACTGTGCACAATGAGCATAAAGTGATAGATCCCAAAGCTATTTTCTTGAATAGTCTGGGGTGATTATAAGGTCATATTTGTTCAGAACTTTCTTAATTTATTGACATAGCACGCACATCTTGTAGACATAGTTGCTCGAACCCAAGATCTCTAGAAATAACAACATTCCCTTCTTATCACTAAGACCACTTGATGAGTTTAAGTTCCCAAAATGTAACCCAGGAAAATTTTACACTATATAGTAAACGGCAGA